TATTTGCATTGTCTGAAATTCGACATTGGCTCGCTTCCAGTTCTGTCCAAAATACCCATGAAAACGTTCCACCTTTTTCGCTTTTTATTTGTGTCCCTGTTTTTTCTACGTTCTACGTGTTTGAGGCAATCAAAATTGGATTTGCTGACATTCAAAAACTATTTGTTAGATGAATGACAAGCAAGTAAAAATATGGGTATTTTTAAATTAATTCATTTGAAATAATTTCATTTTCATTTGTATGTGTCATTTCACTTGCCTTTTTTGTATTGTTTGCTACTATTTTTATAGTACTTGCAATTGAATTTAATTTAATTATACATAAATAAGGGGGTGGGATTTTATATTTCTAGAGAAATAATTCAATTAAAAATGTTCTTTTATTTTAATTTGATTTGTTTTCCCGAGAACAACATCGCACTCTCTGGTCCGAAACAAAAAAAATGCATAATTGAAAAATCATAAAAAAAAAGTTGGGGGAGACAACAACGCAAATACGAATGGTATTCAATTCGTGGAACAAAAATGTCAAACATTGTACCAAATGTCAATTAAACATTCGACCAGGAGGAACAGCGAGAACAAATAGATGGGTTAACAGAGGGGCGGCGATAGGACCCCAGCCAACAATCAGAATCAAATTGATTTTTAATTAATTTTCGCCACATTTTTTCTCTCTTTCTGATTGTGACTGTCTGTCTGTCTGGCTGGCAGCAAAAAATGTGAGAAGTGATTGAAGTAAATGAATGGGAATTGCTCTGAATTGGTTGACCAAGCGACCGAAGAGGTGGGTGGGTTCAATGGCGGGTTCCTGTCTTGTCAACTATTATAAATTCAATTTAGATATGCCGTTCGATGAGTGCCAACAGGGCGGATGGATCGGATCGGACCGATGGGAGACAAATGAATGCGAGAATGCTGGCTGCCAGCAGATGAATAGCGGAATAAAAATTGCAAATGATAGTTGCAAAATAAATAAACAAAAAACCATATATATACTTAAAGAAGAATAGCAAAATGAATATATACAACATTTTTGTTTAGTAGCAATTTTCTAATTTTCTGTTATAGCCCAAACATGGAATTTAAATCGAATTCTCACATCTAAATAAAAAAAATATGTTAGCATTATAGTTCCACAAACCATTTATTAATTTTTTTTGTCAGCTTTTAAAAATATATATTTTTCAAACACCTAGCAAACAAAACGGTTTTCGCAACCACAAAACACGGTAATCCCTATCTAAACTTTTTACCCAAAGCCAACTACAAAACTTTTTTGTATAACCCTTATTATTTTGTTTTTGTCATATCCAACTGTTCTGAAAAAGTTGCAGTCGAATAAATTGTGGCATATTTCGTATTTATTCGAGGACGCGTTATTCAATTACCTGACAACCCTACCAGCAAGAGGCAACCACTCGACTCCACCGACTGACACACTTGAAACTTCAATGTAAATTCACCCGTTGCCACGCCTCCCTTTTGGTCTACACTACGCCCCCCTTCTATCGTATCTGGTTGGGTACTTCACTTTAGTGTGAATTGCAAATGAAATGCATGGTAGGTGGGCAAATTCAGGGCGAAAACATACACGCATTGCATGCGTTGACTTATCGCTATCGATAGGCCCTTGACAGGCTAAACGAATTTATTTTAGAAAACAAAACCGTTGACACCACCTTCAGTTCACGGTGGATATATATAAAGGGGAAATAGAATGAAATATGTCATTTATAAATAAAATGTCAAGGAAAACTATTGATTATTATGTGTGCCAATATTTTTGACATTAATTTAACTGGAAGATAGCGAACATAAGTTTAACTCATGATAAAAAAGGAACCGAGCTGTTATTATTCACTATGTGTTATATTACTTACCAATGCAATAACAAACATCAAAAACCCCTCTGTATAAAAGGGTATATCAAATCAGGAAGAAAATTCCCTACTATATATTTAGAGTAATATTAATTAATTACAGTCTGCTAGAACATGCAATTTAAGACTTAGTTGCTAATTGCTAAAACATAAGACGGAAAAACTCAAGGAACTAAGCTGGGCCTTATTCATCTCTCTTTCTCTGTCTTTTTCACACTTTGGCTCATTACAAAAAAAAATATATATATAACTGAGTGAGTGGGAAAGAGAGGCCAAAATGCAGTTAGGCAGGTCGTGGAAGCTTACAAATATTTTTAGGCCAAGAACCCGATCACGCTAATGGCGATTATGCTTGAGATCATTATGATCTCATATGATTTTTTTTTTTTTGCCATCGGAGCGTAATTCGTGCGGTTAACGAACTCCCAATCAAAGTGGTTTGACTGGAATACAAAAGTGCTCGCTCGGAGCGAAAGAGATGGGCTGATGAAAAGTCAGAACGAGATGGAGCATTAAGCTTGACTGGCAGCTTTTTTGAATGTCATTGCCGGAGTTTTGCGAGAGCGTAAGATCCGATCTCTCTCTCTATCTGACGCGGTTTGCATAATTTTCTTGGGGAGCCCAGCTTTTTCTTCTTCTTGCTCTGTGCTAATTTCTCATTCGCCCCGTGCATTGAACTTGTGAGCTAGAAAAAAAATGAAGGAAGGAAAAATAATATAACCAAACAAACAACAATCACGTGAGAGCGGCGCAACGAGAAACTACCGCTTAATTACCGATCCCATGTTGCAGCAACATGTTTATGGCAACAAGTTGTTTGTTGGTACTGTCGGTTTGGATTTGTGCTAAATGCAATTCGTACACTCACAAAAAATATATAAGTTGGAAATATAAAATAAAATTCTCTATAAATTCTTGGCTTCTGCTTAAGTTTCAAGATAATTATTATTTTTTTAAAACTACAAAATATACAAGGAATAATATTTAAAGAAATAATTGTTTCTATACAAAAAAAAAGATCTTTTTAAGCCAAGATAGTTTTATTGAAAACGTTGCTATAATTCTTAATGTCTAATTACTTTTCAAGCTTATAAGGGGAGCCACAGATTATACATATATATAAAATATGGAAGTCATATTGATTACTTTCCAAAAATAACTTTTTTAATGCTCGATTCTTCCAGGCACATTTGTACGTAATTTTGAACATCTGCTGAAGTCTGTTGCTGACTTCCCGAAAAACAACAAAACATTGTAATATACTTATAATAATAATAATAATCAATATGGATATTTAAAAAAATGATAATTTAAGCAATACATTCTTAGAATCTGTTTTTTTTACAGTGCAACTTTCGAATTAACCGTTAGATTCTTCTTGCTGGACAGCAGGAACAGGAAGAATGTTGTCTTGTGCCCATTTGGGTGAATGTCGTTGAAAATGGCCAAGGTGATGGTGATGGATATTCCATTTATTGCCAACAATTTTCCAGTTTTCATAAATGGAAGAGGCCTCAAGTGCAACCATCTCGATTTAACTCCACGTCATCTCTCTCACTCACTCGTTTTTCTCGTGCGTGAAATCGACTTTGCTTGTTACCCAGTATTACATGTTTTTTTTTTGGTTCACACTAAAACAAATTCAGCTTTGATGTTGCGACCTACGAACCTTACTTAATTTGTAATTTAGTGCGCTCCAGGTTTATGGTTTATTTTTCTTTTTTTCGTTTTTGATCTGTTTCGTATTTTAGCTCTTCCTCATATTTCTCGGTTCTCGGCTTAATTTGTTTAGTCACACTTTGTTGAAGAAGTCAACAAACTCCGCATGGGCTTGCTTAATATATAATACTCTCGACTCGACGCAGTCAACGAAACTTTTTTTATAGCTTGGTTGGTTTATGATCATTAAAATGCTTACAAGGCGTTTGAAACTTGTCATCCAGATGTGTATAATTAATGAAGCTCATTTTGGTTAGAATCGCTTCTACCCTTTCCTTTTTTAATGTTTGGACTGTGATTTTTGTTACTGGGCGAAATTAAGTTAACGGACGGGGAGGCAAAGTTTTTTGTACGAATGATAGATGTAATTTTTTTCAAAAAAAGCTTAACTTCTTTTACCTGTTGCTTTTGAATGAGCAAAATGTTATGTAATCTAAATTTCTATTGAGGAAATTGAAGTTCAACCCATTAAATTTGCTTAAATGTTTTAAATCACAATGTTATTATATCATAAAATATTGGTTCTAAATGATACAATCTTAGATTGATTTATAATGCTTTACGTAAATTTAACAAGTGAACAAGATTTTTCAGTTGAACAAAAAAAAAATGACTAAACTATTTTCCCGTAATTGAACATTGATGGATTTGTGAAATAAGGTTGAGGTGGCTAAAAAATAATATATATTTTACCAAATTTATAAATTTATTTTATTCATTAAAACCCGACAAGTTTGTTTATATTTTCTTTCTTAAGAATTTGGGTATTTGATCTTTCTTAAGCAGCACTAATTTTGCTTGTTTTAATTCGCCTTTGGGCAACCTGTTAACGTTTAGTATTTCTCCGAATTTGCCGCTTTTTCTTCAGCGGAAGTGGCGAACAAAAACAATGCATACATTTATCTATGCTGCTCACACCGCCCACAAAACCACTCACCCACCCATGCCACCCCCGCCCTTTAACCTTCGTACGGCGATTTTCTACAAAAGATAACTGCGCTTTTCCTTGCGCCAGCTGGCAATGCCGTGCTCCCTCTCTCCCTCTCTGCTATTATGACACCACTCTCGTATAAGAGCAAAAGTCTCCAATGGAAGAAAGCAACAGTTCGCTCTTTCTCTCTCTCTCTCTCTGTGTGTTATTCCGCCCTCTCTTTTGTTTCTGGGGTGTGCCTACAAAACGGCGGAAAAACGTCAACAACAAGTGTTTTTCGCTCAATTCTACACGGAGAGAGAAAGTCTCTTCTACACAAAATTCTCTTCTATAAAATTGCATTCTTCGGGTCTCCACTTCGTTTCGGTTCGTTTCTCCTCGGCTTCGACTTCGGCTTTAACATCGGCTATGGCTTCGTCTATGCTCGTTTTATTGGGCCAAGTTGGAAATCAACTAAGAGAATCTATACACGAAATTATTTCGCGATGGAACTCTGAACGCAACGGTTGTGTCCGCGCATCTCGTTTCTGTTTTACTATCCGCCGCAGTCGCTGTTTTCGTGGTTTATTTATCGCGCTAAGTAAATTCAAGCAACTAGCAAAAAAAGCATCCAACATTGTACAACAATTGTGCCTCCCATTAGTAAAAAAAAAGAATTATAAGAAAAAACCAAGAAAAAGTGTCTGGGAATTTATATTCCTACCCAAAAAAAAAAGAATTGCTAGATGGATTGTGCGTGTCGTTTAATTGATTTCAAGGATTGCCAAATGGCAAAAGTAAATTGAAACTGTCGTCGTTGTCGTCGTGGTCCGGGGATTAAAAGTGCAGATTATAACACGCAGAAGGAGAAGAGCTCCCATCCGGTGTGCACTCCTCATCGTTATTGTGGCCGCAGTGTCACGTCTGGCAAAGAGATTCGGCTTAAATTTAATTAAACCCAAAGAGGAGTTTAAAAAATAAAAAAAAAAAACAAAAGGTTCAAGTGATTGCCCCTCTAAAAAAAAACAGTGAAGTTTCTTATTATTTGTCCGGCAGACATCGGCCGGAAAGTGTTGCTAATACAAAAAAGTAGCAACTACAACAATTATCGCAGATCCGGGCGCTAGAAAGATGGTGGTTTTGGAAACTGCCAGCGCCCTATTGGGTGGGCCCTACGCTCAAGGCGCTCCCGCCTTGAAAATGGTGCAAAAACGCTACATTGGATTACATCAGTGGCTGGGACCAATTCGCACCAAAGAGTTAAAGGAGCATATTGTAAGTTTTTCCGGTGTCCGGAACACAAAACCATCTGTCGATAACGAAATGACTCACTGATCTGAAATGCCCACAAATCGAACAGATAACTATGCACCACACTTAATATTAAAGAAATGTGTTTCGAAAGCAGAGTTGCCTAAAAGATTTGCACAATAAACTGTAAAATATATGTACAAACTACAGAGTAAACGAAATTATTAAAAGCGCTTATTTATATATTTTGCAATCACTTATAAAAGAATAAAAACATAAATTTATTTGAAAAAGGTTAAAAATTGTAGAGTCAAATCCTATACATACGGCTGCCAAAAACTTCTAAAAAAAAAGTAACAATTTCGATTTAGCTTTTCCTAATCAAAAAGCTCACTCCAAAATTCGGTAATTTCCAGTGTCTTGTAATTGTTTCCGTTGATTGTTTTCTGTGTTTGTTATTTGTTTGCTACATTTTCCGCACAGTTTCGCTGATCGAGGGATTTGTATTGTCGATTTCGTTTTTCTGATGGGTGATTGATTGGCACATTGATTGATTATTTTAGTACAGAGCCAGCCAAATCCCTTTATTTACGCCTCTAAATGGCATGCAATTTTTTGCATACTTATTTCTACAATTGGATAATACAGTTCGAAGTCGGAGAATCTTCTGAAAAAGAAACTTATCTGTGTGCGTATGCATATTTTTTGCGTTCGGTTAAGGATTCATTTTTTTTTCGTTTTTATTAGATAAATACACACGGACCGAAAGGTAAGCGAAGAGTTCACTCTTGGCTTTAATTAATGTGAATGCCTGTGTGCATTAGTCGGTAAATTTATGACCCAGGCTTAAATAGCATATGAATTATGCTTTGGGGCCAGAACCAAAAGTGGGAGGAAGACATAAATATAGTGGAGGCGAGATAGAAAAGAGAGTTGAGTGCATTTTCCAATTGAGTGATTTATGCGCTTTGAAAGTCCCTGTAAAGTGGCTAAAACACAGTACGGTGGTACGTAGCAACATCATTATCGATGCATAATCACAGTGCACACTCGCTGTAAACAACATTTGAATGTTCAGTTCCCAAAACGGGCGAAATAGTAAATGTTTATAATTTGTTAAACATTGCTAAGCCATCCGCTAGCCTTAGCACTCCCACCCATTTCATACTGCCTTAAAATCACCCACAGATTACGTATTCGACGTGTGTTGTGCACTCAGGTTTCCATTTCGCTCTAGCATCACAAAACCGACCAAACTGACTGACTGACGCATATCAAAGTGCATAACCAAGTACTCAGTTATGGGTAAAAGGGTTATATTCAACTGTTACTGGGCTCCCTCCTCTCGTCTGTTACTTGAGGTTATTGTGGAAGGGGGTTCTCTAAATGAGAAATGCCATTGTCAAAGCCTGTGACACTCTGACGGTAATTAGATGGAAATTTTAGCCAAAGTACACATGCGAATGTTGTGGTGTGATTTCGTTATGCAAATGGATATGGATTTTATAGATCCATCTAGGTAGCTAACTGGATATTGGTTTAGGAAAATAATCTGAAGAACAAATTGAAAAATTGTGTGCTACTATTGCCTTACGTTTGAAATAAAACATGTTTCAGTTTAATATTAAAGATGTATTAAGTCTAGAATTGAAGTTTCTACTTCTGCATGGTTCCTAAGTATCACTCTGAGTATCTTTTCCTTCTCGTTCTTTAATTTTCAGCTGCCTGGGTAACTTTTCAAATAGATTAACTTCCAGCCAAACTTCTCGACAACTGCAATCTGCTGCTGGTGCTGCTCTCATGTCTCCAGTTGACCTGCTTAAAAGGCCCACAGAACCGCAGAACCACTACTACTGGCTGCCTGGGGCAACAGCTGTCGTGGGTTTTCCAACCACCTCGAACCCCAAAGCATTCGAAACCATTTCTTAGCCACTACACCACAAACCACCCCTCGGCAGTCAGTGGGTTAACCTCCACAAGTGGCCATGATGCCTAAGATGCTCGCTTCGCATCGCATCTATCCGTCTTGTCTTGTCCAACTGCAACTCGAAAACTTCACACAAGTTAAACACTGAAAAGTGCTTGAGGCGTACAGCAAGAGGCTTTTCTCCAAAGGAAAAACTTATCTTGTTTTTGTTGGCCTTTTCTAAATGTCATTACATCAGTTGCTCTCCCTGTCGCTCCTTTAACTCGGTTTTCTATTTTTTCCTCCTCCTCCTCCTCCTCTTCTTTTTTTTTTTTTTATTTAGCAGACTGCAACTTTGTTGAGCATTTTCCTCCGATTTTTCCCTACATCACTTGGTTCTGCTCAAGTGCATTTGGGCAATGCTGGAAAAGAAAGAGATATATAATATTGGGCGAGTTGTGTAGGAAGCAAAAGCTCAAGCAGCACATCATCAATTAAATCACGCAACTTTCTATGAAATTAGCCTCAGCTCTGAGCTATATCAAACGCGATCATGACTCCGGATTTCTCAGTTTTTCTTGTGATTTTTCGTATTCTCTGCTTTTCTTATTCCCACCTCCCCACCTAAGTCCAGAAATTGCAGTCTTCTTGCTCTCGACTGCATCAAGGTTTTCGCATTTTTCTTTTCAGATGAAAAATACTCTTTAGTTATTAATATCTGTGGTGTATACGAATATTGCAAAAATCGTTGTTAGATTTTTGTTTTAAATATCAAAATTATCGAATATAAAATTCGTGATTGTAATACAAATTCCTTTCGTATTTCTCTCATTCCCTCATTAAAATTCAATATTCAAATTCTTGTTTATCAAATGCAAATAACAAAAGTTTTAAAACAAATGAATATAAAGTGATGCTTAATTAATAAAAAAAGAAAAGTTTTTTTTTCAAAAACTTTAAATCAAGAGCATTTTATATTCGCTACTGGAAAGTACATATTGAAAATTCCGTTCATATTTCTCTCATTTTTCTTCGCTTGCCTTGCAAATTGCAATTGCCAAACATAATTTCAATTATGTGCCAGCGTGTGTGAGGGCCAATGCACATGTATCTATGGCTCTCCACTCCACCTCACTCACCTACCTTGCAACACCTGGACTGGATGAAATCGTTGCTATATCTTTTCGCTTATAGTGCAATTTTTCGTTTCTTATTTAGCTAGCATTCGTGTTCGGTTGCAGCTGCAAGTTCTCTCCTCTACTCGCATTGTTTTACACCCTTCGTAAATTAAAAGTTAATAAAAACTCACCGGTAGCTCTAATTTATTTTTTAATACTTATTTTCATGTTTCTTTTACGCTGCATTTTAAATTGCAGCAGAAAGAAAAATATTTATAGTACATATAGGAAGAGAGATGGAAACTGTGTATTTATTTCAGCTTCTGCTCTTTGTTGCTGCGGTGTTGTTGTGTGCAGATTTTATGCATTTTTAATAAAGCAGGCGAGCGCGGCGGAGTTGCAGAATTTTCCGTTGGCAGCGGTGAAAATTGCAGCAAATTAGGTGCCATGGATTCCCATTCAGAGATGGAGAGGGTGAAAAACTCAGGCGGATGGAAGATGAGACCTCGAATACCCCGAACCCCCATGTTCCCCATACTCATTCCCCAGATATTTGCGATGTGTGGAAGGAAAACTGCGGCATTAACGACTTTATGTGCAGCCACGGAGCAGTCGAAAAAACTCGATGAGAGGGGGGCAATGGAAAGCGGGAAAAATGCGAGCACGAGAGAGAAAAGATTGTGGATAAGTTTGGCTTTGATTCAGCTTATTTAAGTATTTTTTGTTGTGCTTCTTTTGGTGTGTGGCCAAGTTCAGATTTGGTTTGGTTGGGTTTTTCATTTGGCATACAGGTTAAAACTAGAGCAAGTTTAAAGAGGGGGAAATTCAAACGGATGCAAAGAATAGCGATCAAAAAAGAGGGGATTTAACATAATTAAGATTGCTAAAGAAATGTTTAATTGCAAATTTTTAAGCATAAACACAAAAAGAAAATATCATATTTTAATTAATACTTATACATCTCTTTATAAACAAAGAATATCTTGGAATAAAAAATCATGGATTGAAATTGTTGTAGCTTTTCTCTACTTTAATCTAGACATTACTTAATTTCACTTGAGATTCTGTACTTTTTTCCCAGTTGCACAAAAACTTTGTACTTTTTACGAGGTTTTGAGACTCTGTGAACTAATCCCATCAAATGTAGCTATCAACTGCATTCGGACCGTTTTTCCACCTGTGTCCAATAAGTTTTCATTTGCCTCCTGCTCCACGCACTTTTCCAGAGAGTTTAATAATGAACTTAACCATTTGAACAACTGCACACTACTGCAATCAATTGCAAGTCATTATATAGTTTTTGCCCGAACAGAGGGCATTTTTAATTAATTTTCTGTCAACGTTTGCAGAAAAATAGTCAAGAAAAAAGGAGAATCTCAGAGGGACGACAAATAGTACCCAAGGGTCTGTCTCTTATAATATAATTGTTTCGGAGGTCCAGTTTCAGTCACGTGTTTTAATTTCGATAAACGAGTGGCGAGGAACAGGAGCAAACAATAAAGTTATTAACAACATGTGTTGTCTGTCGTCGACAAATTTATACCATAATATTTTCCGCATTTCTCCCCCTTTAAGAGCTTATTTGCGACTTGAACAACATCTTGATCTTATGACTTAAAGTTGTGAGTGGCTTCGAGCTGAAACAAAAGGAAAAAGGAGGTTCAAAAACTGGGTTGTCTTTGCAAAGAGAAAATGAAAGCAAAAAGCTAAGAAAGGAAAGAAGAACTTTAATTTAGGATTCAAAGATATTTTTTCGAGTAAAAATATGGTACAAATTCAATAATAATAAAAAAGAAATACATAAAATGAAATAGAATAATAGTCCATAGAGTTGATAGTCACTGTGAAAAAGGTTTATTTGCATTTCTTAGGTAAAGTTTAATACAAATTTAAAAATACAAAAAAAAAAAAAAGAATTTTTCCCATTTAGCATGAGGTGGATTATCGACTTTTGTATCTACTTCACTTTCTGTTAGTTTCACAGTGATGTCTCATGACGT